AAATTATTTTTATTTCACATTGTGTCATAGCAACATCTCAAGATAAAGCAGAGATACAAAATTTGATAGAACCTTAATATGCCTAATATCTGTCCTATTGATTCTATAGAAAACTGTTTAGTATAATATCAGCTTTTTGGTCTTTCCTCACTTTATCAGTAAATGCAATTTTTATAAGCTTATTTAGATATCCTTTTCCTGGTTAAGGAAATTATCTTTTATTCATACTTTGTTGAACCTTTTTTTTTTTTTTTGCAGTACTGGCAATTGAGCTCAGGACCCTGAGCTTGCCGGGCAAGTGCTTATTCTACTGAGCTATCTCCCTGGCCCTGAAGCTTCTTTTAAAAAAAATTAGAAATTAATGTGGTTCCGTCCAATGCCTCTTCTTCAGCTACTGCAATATGGTTTTTCTTGTTCGTTAGTATGATTTATCACATTGTTTGATTTTCAAATATTGAACCAGTTATATATTCCTGTGATAAACCAAACTTGGTTGTGAGGTACTACTAATTTTCTCAGTGGTTGGATTGGTTTTGCTTATATTTTGTTGATGATTTTTGTGTATGTTTGTAATGGATGTTGTTTGCTGTTTTCTTATAGTATCATTATCTTCGATATTTTGAGTTGAGAAATATTCTTTTTCTGCAAGAGATGTTTAATTGGAGTTATTTTTCCTAATGTTTTATAGCATTTGCTAAGAAATCACCAGAACATATTTTCTTTTTTAGAATGTTTTTAACAAACAGATTTGTTCTCCTTGATATATGTAAGAAAATGTAACATAGCCTACTATTCCACAGTAAACTTTTTACATAAGTACAAATGCATGCTATAAAGTGCTAAGTAGCGTAGTATAGTAACATAGTTACTGTCTTCATCAAGTAATATGTACTGTAATTATTAATCTGTGTTATGCTTTTATGGACTGGCTCGCCAGTAGCATTGTTTCTCCTGGCACCGCAGACGTGTATACGTTCTGTCAGGCCTGCCATTCCTAGGAGCTAGGAACTTTTCTGCTCCAATACCATCTGTTTTGACCACTTCCTTCTATATGCTATGTGCTGTTGACCAAAACATCAGTAGAGCAAGCGTGATTGTACTTGGTTCTGTGTAGGGCTGCTTTTTACTGAATACATTATTTCAAATAAATCCTATGGACATTTGTTTCTCCCATTTGTTAAAAGTGTATTGATATACATGATTGTGTGGAATTTTTTTTTTTTCTGTAAAGTTAATTTGAATATGGCAATCTTACAGATTATAAGAGATACTATGGCTCCTAATTTGTTTTTTTCTTTTTTTTTCAAAGTCTATTAGTTGCAGATAACAAAGTTGCTAACAGTTCATGTTTCTAGATAAAGTTCATTCTTTTGGGAAATGGAATTAAAATTCATGCAGTGGTTATATTTCAGTACAATAATTGACTTAACTGAGACTTATGTCGGTTTAAGGAATAGGATAGTAGAGAAAATGTAAGTCAAAAGCATCAGAAGAATTCCTTTTGAAAAACTGGAAATAAGAACTGAAGAATTTAGAAACATTGTTAAGGTTTGTGGAAATGTCAAAAAACAGGGGCCAGGGATATAGCTCAGTGGCATAAATGCTTATCTGACAAGTACAAGGTTCTGAGTTTAATTTCTAGTACTGCCAAATAAATTAAAAAAAAAAAAAAACCATGAGGGGAATAACTGTGTAGAAATACAGATAAGTTGTATTGAGACTTCTTGTACTGTTTTGACAACCAGAACAAATGAGAGGTTTTGCAAGTATCACGAATTTTCTTTGTAATTTGCCTGTAGTGTCTGTGAGGATGCCCTCATAGACGGAGGGAGATTCTTTAACATCGAGGAACTGTGTAAGTGTTTCTTCACAGATTTGTGAAGATCAGGCCAGGTGCTTGAGAGTAAATACTGGATTCTGTGCCTTCTTTGTTAGAGAAATAGAAATGCAACATGAGATATTTTAAGTGAAAATTTGTATTTTTTATTAAAAATTGTTATGGCATGAGCTGTTTTGTTTTTGTTTTTGTTCCTGGGAGACTGATCTTGGGGTCTTCATAACCAGTTAGATCCCGATCTCTTTTTACAGTTTTAATGTGAGTGGATCTCGAGACAGTTTTTCTCTTGCTTCAGCCTACCAGAATACTAGCATTGCACCAGAAGCAGTAACTGGCAGGCAGTGGTGTATACAGCATGGATACGCGGGTGGGATGGAGCTCCTGGGTGTTCAGTTTTATTGTTGCTACTTAGTGTCATGTAACTTAAAACTTAGGAGATATTTCTGGAATTTTTCATTTAATATATTTAAGACTGTCAGAGTCAACTGTAGGTAACTGAAACTTTAAGAGTATCACTGAAGGGCTGGGGGGACCTCTGTATTTAGAACTCATTAACTAACAGAATCCCTGAGTTCTTGTATTTTTTATCCGTCTAGCTTCAAAATTAGAAATGAAAGCAACAAGAATAACAGTATAAAAAATGAACTATGAGCCTTTAAAGATATTCAGATAAATAAATTCTGTTGGTTTATTGTGAAACTTAATTAACTCATTAAAAACTATACCTTTATGGGGTACATTGAGATACCGTATAATGTAAATATTGTATAATGTTTGAATCAGGATAATCATATCTACCTCTTGAAACATTTATCATTTCTTTTTGATGTAGATATTCAAAATCCTTTTTTCTAGCTTTATTAAGAAATAGTTATTACCGCTTTTATAGTTGCCTTACTATGCAATAGAACACCAGAACTTATTTTTCCTTTTACTGTAACTTAGAACCTTTAAAAATTTTAGGTTATTAAGTGCCAGTATTTATATGGTTATCTTTTGTGAGTGATCATCATTAGATTTATTACTGAGCATTAAGGTACCATCCCTAAATTCATCACAGTTCTTTTGCTTTCAAATTGGTTTGCTTGCATCCTTAGAATCTTCTTTGGGGTCTTTAGGATTGCTACAAATCAGTGTTAGATAAGTGACGTTAGTAAACCCACAGATGGTTCTGTGGGCTGTTTTTATTTGGGATGGGATCTGTTGTCTGGAGTTAATTTGGCCATTATTTTCTCTTGGCTTTAAAGTTGACCCTAAACTATGCCCTAAGATCCTAATCCTTCTACTGGGTTTTTCTTTGTTTTAGAAATTAGACTTTACATACAGAAAATTGATCTTTAATAATAAGAATGTAACAAGCTTGTCATAAAGAAGGTGTTTGTATCCTTTTTGTCCTAGAGTGCCTGCTAAATTAACACTTTTGTTCATAACAAAGGAAGCCCTTATGACTTTAAATTTTTAAATGTTACTTATTGATTGATCCAGTGATTGCACTGGGCTAAGGAGCCCTGAGCTGTTTGTAGCCCCAACCCCTTTTTATTTTTGAGGTAACTTGCTAAGTTACCTGGCTAAGCTACATACCTGGGATGATAGGCATGTTCATCCTCCTCAGCAGAGGAGGTGGATCTTAAAGGAGCAGGCTCCTCCTTGAAAGGGATACACGGTGAGTTTGCCGTATAGGCTGGATGTGCAGAATAAGACCCTATGTCAAACAAAGCAGAACAACACAAAAAAAATACATTTTATGGAAGTGTTTATGTACCGTCTACCTCTCTGTACCCTGTTTGGATGGTTAGTGATTTTCCAAGGAGAAACCTCATAATTCCTGCTGATTCAAGTTAGGAAAAGCAATCTGTGACATGTTGAAATCTTATAGTTGGTACAACATAAAACTCAGGAAAATTCCCCTGTTCTTTTGGTAGGTTTTCCTAAATGCTGTTTCTCCCTTGAGAGGAATATTGCTGATGAGAAACTTAAATTCCTCAACCCTGGTATCCCCCTTATATTTTGTTTACAGCTCACAACAACTATAACAACAACAAAACAGCATCTCAAGAAAATAGGTTGTGATTAATAAGGCAGGAATTCTTACTCAGGTCTATTAAGGTGATCAGATCTAATCAAATAATGATGTTTAATTTAGAGAAAAGTAGGTTAGTGAAAGAAAAACAGCAAGTAGGTAAATATGATGTAAAAATATTTTAAAAGAAATAGAACTGTGTTTATATTTTCATCAAACAAGGGTGCCATTTAAGTATTAACAAAATTAGGTATATAAGAACATTTATTTGCAAGGCTTTTTTTCAGCATGTTCAAGGAGTTTTCTTTAATAGGTACTAATTTTAAATACTTAAGATTTTCTGAAAACTAAGGCCAAGAAGTTTGCTTAACAGTTTTTTATGAATGCCTCACTTGAGCATCTGGTTTGAGATCATTGTTCAGATTTGCTAATAATGTTTTTACAATATGCATGCAAAATTGCTGATTTGTATATTTACTTGCGCCTGATTAGGACAGACTGTAACAGAATTTTATAAAACAGTTTTCTTTACCATTATAGATGGCACAACTTCAAGTGAAATGATCTGAAATGTGTCTGAAATTGAACAGATTTTGAATTTTTGTGTTTGAGTTGAGTGCTCACGTAGTGAAGTCTCTGCAAATATCCCAATTATCTGAGAGATCTTTGAATTGTGAATCCCTTGTAGTACCTTCCATTTCAGATAAGGGATCCCTAACCAGTGAGCAAGGATTATGAGGAATCCCTGTGATAAAATTTAGAGTTACATTGAAACTTCTCTTAAATTTACCAGTACAGAATGAATGGTCATATTTAAATTACCTGTATATAGTCAATAGAAATCTATTAGAATTTTGTATTTATATAATTAGGAGATTTCAGATTTTTAAAATTAACCAGTTACTTATTGTATAATATATAATATTAGAATTATATTCATATTGTTAGGAGAGCAGATTTTTCAAATTAATCAGTTATTTATTAGTATCATGACCTAAAGTTATTTTATTGAGAAGTAGTTTTTGATTTTCTAATAAAATAAATTTAAATAAATTGAATTTTACATACAGAAAAGTAAAAACTCTTCTATGTTATACTTTTACAAAGTGAATACACCTTCACACCTTTTTGACCCCAACCTAGATCAAGATATCAGCTCCTCAGAAGCCTCCTTGTATGCTGTCCCAGTCAATAATGCCTTCACAAGAAAGGTAAACTACTCTTCTGACTTAATAACCAGCAATAAGTTTGGTTTGTTGTTAAGTTTTATAGAAATATGTAGTATAGTATGTGCGTTTTTGTCTTGACTTTTTTTTTTTTTGACACACCATTGAATTTTTGAGATTTGTCATTTTGTTTGTGCTATTGGTTTTTGAAAATTTTCTTTTGTAGATTAGGATTTCATGTACGAGTATACTCTCGTTTTTTCTTTCTGCTTATTGATGTTTAGATTATGAATCACGTGGGGCTTTTAACCAGTAATGATATGGTAATTCTTGTCCATACCTTTTTGTGTGCACACATGTGTGTTTCTGTGGAGGTTATGTCTGGGGGTGTGCTGCTTGGTAATCATCAGAGTGTGCTTTCAGGTAGACATGCCCAGGTTTTCCTACTCTTCATAGCATTTTATATTTACAGTGCATGGGGTTGCCAGTTACTGTGCATTCTGCTTGTATGTACTTGGTACTCTCTGGTTTTTAGGTAAAAATTTGTTGTTCTGGTGGTTGTAGTATCTCATTGTGGTATTTTCTTGATGGATAGTGATGTTGAGTGCCTTTTCTAGTGATCTCTTAAAAAGTTTTCATTCTTAAGCTGTCTTGAAAATTGGGCTTTTTCTTGGAGATTTGAAATATTTTTGTTGTTTGAAATATTTTGGGTATAAGTCCTTTGTTGTACATGTGTATTGCTAAGTTTTTTTATCCTACTTTGTTGCTAGTATTTTCACATTTAACAAAATACTTAATCATAAGAAAATCCAATTTGTTTTGTTTTTCTGTGTCCTTTTTATAAAATAAACTTCAAAAAGTTGAAGTTTACATACAGAAAAATACTATACAGATTAACTTTATTATGTTAATGTGCTCTTACAATATGAAGACAAAGTCAAATTTGTTTGATTCAGAAGTTTTGGTAGTATTTTGTTGTCATCATATAAAAGTTTTATTTTTTAAAAATTTTATGTGTAGTTCTCAAATATATATTTCTTTCCCTCTTTGCCATGACCTGCAATGGATATTAATTTGATTGATTTTGATTTTGGCAGAAATAGTCATACAAAATCTTTGGTTTGGTTTACTCAAAAGAAAACATTATTATTTTAATATGTGGTATTAAAATTTCTAGTATGGTAACATTTTCAGCTAATTCAAATGCATAGTTATTTTGGTGGTTATTTGAAACGAATTTTTAAACAGCTTTATTTCACAAATCTAGGAGAGGGAGATTTCTTTGTTTTTCATAATGTGTTATGTTCTCCCTTACTTACTGTTTTGGTTTTGAGACATCATAATGCTGGCTTAAAAACATGGAGTTGGGTAGTTCCTTGCAGCTACAGTAAGCACTGTAAGGCATAAAGTGATTTGAAAATAGCATATTTCTATTCAAGTCTGCAGTGAGGCTAGCTTTGTACTCTGGATTTAGAATGCTGTACTTAAACAATCCTCATATAAAACAGAATTCTTAGGTGGATTTTACAGAGTAGATGTAACTTTAAACTTGAAAAACTATTTCTTATTTTTATTTTTTTATTATTTAGGGAGTCTCAGTCATCAGCAAGATTTTTAAAAGGCTATCTAAGTAGTTGGTAAGTACATGATTTCCACATTAAGTACTTTGCATGCTACTTGAATTTAAATATGCTGTATGAATGACACAATTGTATTAAGTGTAAATTACAGGTATAAATTATATTGCATTTAATTTTGCTTAGATACAGATTCAGTTTTTCTCCTTGTACATGTTCTGATGTCTTTGAATCTTTTCTACACATTTGGTCCAGAATATTCTTTGGCTGTGTAGCCCTGAGTTCAGAGGAAGTATTAGATTTGGTGGTTAGGAATGGTAAAACTTTATGGATGAGCTAGATTTCTTCTACCTGAGTTTTTGCAGTAGTTCTGTATTCATTGCCAAAGCATATGTAAATTCCTTTTTTTTTTTTTTTTTTTTTTTGTTATCTTTTGCTAGATTCCTCCTCATCTTCGGCACTGTCTGCTACAACATGCCAGCAATTATTCTGTCAGGCTCTGGGCTCTTTTCTATCTAGATTACCTTAATGTCTTTGTTTAAAGATTAAAATATGAAAAGTTTTATAGATATCTATAGTTAAGATACATACATGCATTAGACTTATACATGCATTAGATAAAGTTTTTACTGGTTTATTTTTGCATAAATATAGGTGACAATCTCAGAATGTGTATTACTTCAACTGTATACTGTTTTAGATTTATATGTTGTAGTGATTTTACAGTTATAACAGTGCTTTGTTAAGCATGATGGTGTGTGTGTATGTGTGTGTGTTTGAGATAGAATTTCACTATGCAGTTCAGGCTGGCATTCAACTCACTTTGTAGCCCAGGCTGGCCTTGAACTCGTAGCAGTCTTTCTGCCTCAGCCCTAAGTGCTGGGATAAGTGTGTGGCACCAAGTATGACAGATTTTAAAGTGATTAAATATACTTCAAAAACGGGAAATTGCTGGGAGGTTGGATAATCGAGTGTCATATTAGAGTTTGTGATGGTTTTTAATGTAGTCAAAAAGATTTCGGAGATAAATATATTTATTTGATTAAAGGAGATTTTGTAAGATATATGAAGAAATTATAATGATATGCACTTATTTCTTGAGCATACCTTTTTTTTAACAAAAGATGTTTTTGGTACACAGTACAGGGTCTCACTATGCAGCTCTGACTTGTAGGGATCCTTCTGTCTCAGCCTTCAGTACTGGGATCACAAGCATGAGCCACCATACCTGGTCTTGGTGGCCAGCTCAGCCTGCCTGGGGCTGGGGCTGGCGTAGCATGTGGTGCCCCTAGTCCCTGCACTTGCCTAAGCAGGCGCTTAGTCTGCTGAGCTATCTTACTGTCTCTGGCATACCTTTTTAATGAGTTTGAAACAAATATTCAAAGATATGTCTAAGATTATAGTAATCATAGTTGAGATTTACATATTCAGAAATTATACTAATCTGTTTACTGTATACTTATAATAAATGTAATATTTTAAGGAGGAAATGATGTTTGCAAAGGTCTTAAACATTTCTACTACATTCAAATGTGGTAACTTATTTCTAGGTATGTAGTGAGTTGAAAAGAGTAGTTTACTATCATTTTTCTCTGTTGATGCACGTATTTGAGTTAGTAAACTGATTGTCTTTCCATTACATATACTTACTTTTTCCCATAATTTTATTGATAAACAAATAGCAATGAGACAGTTGCAAATCAAATCGGTAGGACAGTTTCAATAATTAACACACTGTATACATTCTTCCTAGTGGTTAATTGCTGTACAAGATGTGGACTTGATATCCTGTTTACAAACTGTATATCTATCCACTTTGAATACACAGATACAATCGTCTGTATACCCTTTTTTTGTTAAGTTCCATTATTTGAATATTATAGGTGTGTAAACCTAGCAAAATATTCTAAAAGAGTCCAGAAGCCCATAATAGTATCCATTACATGTACTTATGTATGTTTCGTCTTTGCTGATTTTACTGATAGTTTTATTGAGATATAGTTTACATACCAGAAAATTCATCCTTCGGTGTTCAGTTGTATTTATTTTAGCATCTTAAGGGTTGTGGAGTCATAGCTCCTGTTGAATGTTTTCATCAGGCCCTTCTCCTCCCTTCCGTTTCAGCCCTAGGCAACACTTATGAATGATGACAAGCATCTTTTCATGTTTATTTGTTCTGTGCATTTATAAAAATGGCTTATACATCTTGTATCTTCTTCATTTTGCAGAATATTTTCAAATTGTAGAATAGTTACCAGTATTTTATTCAGTTTTATGACTGAATAATATTCTGTTGTGTACCACATTTTGTTTATCCATCCATTCATTGGTGATGACTTGTATACACTTTTTTTTTTTGGCCATTAGAAATGCTTCTGAAGGAAAATTGTTATTTTCATGTAGACACGTTTTCATTTCTTTAGTACACATGGATTGGGTTGAATTGCTAAGTAATGTCATTTTTTGTGTGTATGTAATCTCTGAGGAATTGTCAAACTGGCTACACCAGTGGTGTATACGTGGCCTGTATTGTAGTTTTGATTTTCATTGCCATTATGAATGATGATAAGCATCTTCTCATGTCCTATTTGTCATTAGTCTGTATGGAAGTTTTGTCCAGTTTTAAAGTTGAGTTGTCTTTTTAGTCTTGAATTGTAAACATTCTTTATATACTCTATGTACTGGACCCTTATCAGAGTCTTGATTTGAAAATATTTTCTCTTGTTTTGTGGATTATCTCTACTTTCTTGATGGTATCCCTTGAAGCACATAAGTTTTAAATTTTGATGTATTTAGGTTTGTCTGGTTTTTCTTTTGTGCTTTGGTTTTCATATTGTACATTTATTTTAAATACATATTCATTGATGGGCTCAGCCTATGACAAAGTTTTTAATTTTTATAGGTCTAGGGGCCGGGGAGATGGCTCAGTGGAATAAGCGCTTCTCTGGCAAGTGCAAGGGCCTGAATTCAATCCCCGGTTCCTAAAAAAAAAAAAAAAAAATTATAAGTCTATAAAAAAGTGTTGCATTTTCTGTGTTTGACAGCCAGAGCCTAAAGGAAGCAAATATTCTTGTATGTGTGCTTCAATTCCTCAGCTAATTGTTTCTAGCAAAATCTTATGCTTGATTCCATGTATTACAATGAAGAAAACTATTTGTGTGTGAGTCATTCATCGATATTAGTCTTGTGAATTCATGTTTAGTTTTTGGATCAAAGAGGGGAGGACTATTTTTAATAGTTTAATTTATCATGACAGTTATTGTGTATTTATTTGATTTCATACATTAATAAATATTGTGGTCTTCCTTTTCTTCCTCCTCCTCTTCCTGAGACAGGTTTTCATCCTGTAGTTTGGGCTGGCCTTGAACTTACTTTGCAGCCCAGGCTGGCCTCAAACTTGTAGAAGTCTTCCTGTCTCAGCCTCTTGAGTGATGGGACTACCACGGTGTCACCATGCCTGGCATCACTGCCAATGTGTAGCAATAAAAAATTTTAATTTTTTTAATCTTATAAATAAGAGTTTTCTTAGTTTTATTAAGTACATCTTTTTATTTCCATGTACGACCAGCTTAGTTCCTTATCTGAGATTAGTACAGGATTTTCACTCTTGAAAGAGTAGTGAATCACATGAGATTTCTGTTTATTTCTTTTCTGAATACATTTCTCAACTTTTATGAGACAAGGATGGTCAAAAGCTGACTTTGGGTTTCAGAGGACAGAACATGGGACTGAGAGGAGTCACAACTGAGAGAAGCCCAAAGGAGAGGATGTGAGCAGCTAGGAAGTAAAAGAACTGAGCAAAATCACTGTCACATACTGCAGAAGAAACATAGTTTGCAGTTTGGGTTTAGGCAAGCCTATTAAAACTCATACACAAATCAAAAGCAGAAAGCTCTTTGAAAGAATATAACAAAACCTAGAGTTGCAGTATGTTACTTACGATGTTCTTTTCTTCTAACAAATTAACAGATTATCAGATTTGTAAAGAAAATGGAAATGACTCATTTTCAGATACAGAAAAATTATTCAGTAGAAACTAATCTTGAGTAGGAATAGATGCTTGATTTAGCAAAGGCCTTAAAATAACTATTTATGATCAGAAGAATTTTTAAGGAATCTTGTGCTGAAAAGATTACATAAAAGTAACCTTAAGAAAGTAAAGGGGATCTCAGCAAAGATATTGTAAAGCAAAAGCAAAAGAGAAATTTAGGCCAAGAAAATGAGTATCTGGAATGGAAGTTAAATAGATAAGCAACACAGGCTTTTGCAGGTGGCAGAATAGTCAGCTATATCTTAAAAATAGATTAAGAAAAATCAGTCTGAAGGACAAAGTGGAGAGAAACAATTTTGAAACCTTTGAGATAATAACTAATTTAAATGTGCATTAATGAAGAATAAATAATGGAGAGGAACAAACAACAGCTGCAAACCCCTATTTAGTGGAAAGCATCAGCTCAAGCTTTGAGGCAGAGGAAGCACACACCAGAGGCAATATCTGGACATGGAAGTGGACTGGAGGCTGGAAGACATGGGAACAGTAATTCAAAGAGACAAAAGGTAAAAGCTATTAAATAACAATTCTATGCCCAGATATGTTCAAAAGATATGATATATTGAAAAGACATGTTCTAATAAACCCAAGCTGGAATTTTGTTTGCCAGCAGTTCCAAGGGAAATTCATCATTTCAAAGGGAAGTGACAGATGGCAAGGGCCATCCTAGGAAGGAATCAACATATGAACTAGTAAATACGTAACATATAAGAACTTTAATGATTATAAAAAACTTTCCTTATTTGAAAACAATTAACCATGACAAAAAATTTATCTGTTGTTGAATTTATACTTTTTAAAATAAGATGCACGTCTGCTATTTGGCAAATATCAAAACATACTGAACATGAAATTTATTAATTATAAAAAGAGCTTAAACGTTATTACAAATGCATATTCAGTAGTTTTCTGACACATCCATCATCCTTTAAAGTCTGACTTTAAACTGTACACTGCTATGCAGAAGGCAAAACTTACTATGTTTCATCTGTTGTCAGTTGTCTAAAGTTTTAAAGTGCCGCATTAATGTTACAATCTTGTTAAACTGAGCAAAAAGGGAATGCCTCCTTCTCTAGCCCACATGTGTATGACTCTACACTTTCTCATGCTAATGGTTTCTAGCATCTTTTTGTATAACATATTTGGAGGCTAGTGATCTCTATAAGGGTGGCTTGCTTTGCCTACGATCCATTGATAAGGACTGTCCCTTGCCAGTTTGCAGATTATTGCCTATTGGTTAGACAGCCTTGATAAAAGAAACTAGGATCTGTGTACCTGACTTTGGAATGTGTCATATTCTTGGCCAAATTGATGTTCTGTCTGTGAAGTTTTACCTAAGATTTTTTTTTGCAGTGTCCATCTGTCTACTGGGGATCATTTCCTCCTGTACTGGTAGAGAGGTTAAATGCATCCTTGGTACACAGTTTACAATCTTTTAAGGAAGATGAATGTGATTTCTACTTTTGTATTCCATGTTGTTGCAGGCTTTAGGGGCTTATGATAGAAGATTTATTTACCATCAACTGAAGTGACATTTCTTCCAAAACCTATAATTGCTTTAGTTATCCCTTGAATAGTAAGTAGCGACAAGACTGCTCTATTCTTTTGTCTTTAGAGTGTGACACATCCACCATCTAAATTTTCCATGCCTTCTCTGAGACTCTGTATCTCATTATGAAGTTGTCTGCTTTCTCTTGCAAATCCTTCTCTTCATAGTTTGACTTGTTCCTGGAGTTTAAAAGCTAGAGTCATCTGTTGTTCTTCCATCAACTGGGCCCTCTTCTTCTCCAGCTTCTGAGTCAACTGTTTGATGTGCTCCTGATAACTTTTATTTCTGTTCCAGAGTCTCCTGATTCTTTTGCATTTCCTCCAACATTTTTGTGGCAGCCTCTGCAGATTCAGCTTTCGTATGTTCTACTTCAATCTCCTTTTGTTTCTCTCTGAGAGTCTGATCTGTGTGTAGAATGGCATTTATCATATCCTCCTTAAACTGCAGATACTTCTGGAGAACTTTTTCAGCCAGTAGCCCCTTCCTGGGTTCCTCATGGTAATTTTTCTTCAGGTCGTCTACCTTCTGAACAAGAAGATGGTAGCACTCTGGCTTAGGATAAATCCTTTGCTTAACCTCTTTTTCTAGGGCACTGGAAATATTTTGAAGTAAAGCTGAGCAATGACTTGAAAATGCTTTCAAATTGTATTTATAAATGTCTTGCTTTTTTATAGCTGATTATCTTTCAGTTTTTCTCAGTTATGTGTGGTGGTCTTTTTCACTTTTTAAAATAATAAGATTTGTTTTAACTATTTTAGATGTACATTTCAGTGGAACTAATCATTTTATTTTAATTGTTTAAAAAAATTCTTTTTTTGGTACAGGTTCTCACTATGTAGCTTGGACTTGTAGTGTTCCTTCTGTCTCCACCTCCCTAGTGCTGGGATTATAGGTTCATGCCACCATGCTTGGTTTGGGTGGCCGGCTTGGCATGGGTAGGAATGGCATGTGGTACCAGGGATTGAACCTGGGTCCTGGCACTTGCCTAGGCAGGTGTTTAGACTGCTGAGCTATCTCCCAGGCCCACTAACTACTTTTAAAATGTTGCGCATTTATCACCATGATTTATAGAACTTTCCATTATTCTAACTAAAATCTCTAGCTAATAAGCCAAAATTTCCTCTTTTCATCTTTTTTTTTTTAGTAAATTCTAATCTTTTCATCTTTATGAATTTGCCTGTTCTGAATATATTATATAAATTGAATTATGTCATGCTTGTCTAATGAGATTCAGACCTCATGGTAGTAGAAAAGCTTCAAAAGGAAAACAAGGCCTGAGTTGTATGGGGCCTGGGTAGGCTAAGGTAAGGAATTTAGATTTGCATTCTAGTTGTAATGTGACCCAGCTGGAGAGGTTTTTTATGCATTCATGTTGATGGTCAAGCTTTTGTACTGTGTTCAACTGGAAACCTGTTCTGTCATGCTTTAGTTCTACCTTTCTGTTGTATTTTATTCTCATATTTTACCAAATATATCAGGAAAGGGAGATAATGAAGAACAGTTTCTTGAAGTTTTCAACCCAAAAGGACCTATATTACCTGTGTAACTCATTGTTTTTAAGAATTACATAGAATTCTTTGGGAGCCTTGTCCTTAGTTACAGTCTTATGAAAGGTAAGAATGAAGTTTGGCTTAAATAAATTATGGCTTACTCTAGCTTCCATATGGTATTCCATATTAAGATTGCACTACAGGGGCCGGGGAGATGGCTCAGTGGAATAAGCACTTCCCTGGCAAGTGCAAGGGTCTGAGTTAAATTCCCCAATTCCCCGGTTCCACCAAAAAAATAAAAGATTGTATTACAGTATATTATTCTTTCATTGCTCGATTATAAAGTCATTTTCAAGTTCTTGGTATTGTGGTTGCAACAAGGAACCTTGTTACACCTCCATGAATGTTAGGGTAGCTAACAGTGTAATAGGGATAAACATTAAACAGGAAATAATAGCTATTGTGAGAGTATCCTGTATTTGTTATTTTACTGTCAGTGGGTGAATATTTCCATTTCACTATGCCCCTCATTGACACTTCATGATATTTTTATCAATATGTAATGAAAAGTGTTTCCTCATGGTTTAAAGTTTTTGTATATGAATTGCCTTCTTAGTCCCATTTATTTCTACTACAACTGTTTTATTAAGAAGTTAACCTGCTTAGTATTTTAATTCTTTGGCTCTTATGCATAATGTAAAAAGTTATCTAGTTTGTTTCAAGTTAAAAAGTTACATTTGGAGCTGGGGAGATAGCTTGGTGATCTAAGCGCCTACTTGGCAAGTGCAAGGACTTGGGTTCAGTCCCTGGTACCACATGCTGTGCCAGCCCCCAGGTGTGGTGGTGTGTACCTATAATCCTAGCTCTAGGAAAGCTGAGACAGGAGGATTACTATGAGTTCTAGCTGCATAGAGAGACCCTCTACAAAATAAGTAAATAAATAAATAAATAAATAGAATTTTTAAAAAGAAACATTTGTTTGATTTTTTTTCTGTATTATTTCAGTACATATACTAAAATTCTCAGTAGCCTGAACTTTTATATTACCCATTTCACAAATGTTCTTTGGAAGTCACACAACGTTTTACTATGTTTTTAGGCTCATTTTTAAAAATCAGTGTTTGCAGTTCATGCAGTTTACATTTACCTTGGGGCATGGGAACATGTCCATACTACAGCTTCTTTTTTGTTAATCCCTTCTCCTCCTCCTCCTCCTCAGTTACCCATCCCCCCCCCCTTTTTTTTTGCAGTACTGGGGGATTGAACTCAGGACCCTGCGCTTGCCAGGCAAGTGCTTATTCTACTGAGCTATCTCCCTGGCCCCCATCCCATTTTTTAATTCTTGTTGGTATCATTAATCTTATCCCATGTTATGGCATATAGTGTTTACATTAATTGAGGTTGTTAGGCTGCTGTCCTTGGCACATCTGTATTCTTATTTCCTCTTCCCTTCCCCTTCTCTTTATCCCTTATCCTTGTTCCCTTGGTTCACTTCCCTATTGCAAGAGATCCATCGTCTTGGGCTCCTCTATCTGTCCTTTATTGTTCTCTTTGTTTATACTTTGCCTCACTCAAATGAGAGATACCATGTAATACTTAAGCTTGTGTATCTGGTTTCACTCAATATTTTCCACCTTTGAAAATAGCATTAATTTTACAAAATACGAATCTTGTCCACTTTCAGAATTGGGTAATTTCTTCCTGAAATCTTTTGTAGTCTGTCTGCCCAACCAAATGCTTTCCCTGCCATATCTAGGACCCAGGCAGCTCACTGACTGATTTGGGTAGCATGATTTTCTAGTTTGAATGTTAAATATTTCTCCACCTTTATTTTGTATTTTATGATGATGTATCAAAGACTTCAGCTAATTGTTTCACAAAATCCTAGGTTCATACTTTTTTATATTTATCATTGGATTTAAGATAAATATTTTTTAATAAAAGTACAGGATTACATTACAACAAGAGTGTTTTACAGTGTATCACATTAGGAGGCAGATAAAATGAGTTTGGTTTTTTCATTTTTTTGGAACCAGGGATTGAACTCAGGCCCTTGTGCTTGCCAGGCAAACACTTAATTCTACTGAGCCATCTCCCTGGCCCTGGCTTATTATTTTTGATGTTAAATTTGATCTTTTGCTCAAAGTGGGTATAGATGGCTTTCTCCACAGTGAAAATACTTGTCATTTATATATAATCAAGGTGACATTTTGAAGCCATATAAATATACTGTTTTCTATCAAGTTTTCATCCAATCATTTTGTCATCTGTGGATGTTTTTTTGTGTGCATCTTGTAGTATGCTGAGTTGTAATGTTTACTCTGTCTAAAAGCACTAGTTAAAAATAGCCATGTGGTATTAAAAACTTTTTAATGTTAGACTATTAGTGTATTGTACTTGCTATGGTAGCTTTTGTGGAGCATGAGCCACAATGTAGTTAAGAAATATAAATCTCCTATGTTTTTTTATTGTATATTTGCTTTCATTGCTGTGACAAATACCTGAGATAAGTTAACTTAAAAAGGGGAGAACTTTATTTTGACTTACGGGTTTGAAAGGTTTCAATTCATGGTTAAATGACTTCATTCACTTCTGAATATGTGTTGAGTCAGAATATTGTGGCAAAGGAGTGTAAAGTCAAGTCATTCACCTCATGGTAGCCATGAGGCCAAAAAAAAAAAAAAAAAAAAAGAAAGAAAGAAAGAAAAAAGAAAAAGAAAAAAAAATGGCATGGGCCACATAGGCCCTTCAAGGATGCACCCTCAGTAAATTAATTTCCACCGAGCTCCACCTCATGAAGCTTCCACCAACTCCTAATAATGCCACTGCCCGGCAGCCAAATCTTCAAGCCTTTGAGAGAGACTCCAGATTTAAACTATGGCACGATGGATACCGATGATAAAGCTTAATTAAGCACAGTAAGAGATTAAAGATAACTTAACCATAGATTTAGCAACCTCAGCACATAATATTTTTTTTTCTTTTTTACTTAATGGAAGCACTATACAACTTCTCTTTGATGTATTTGGATGCCATAGTCACTACTTTTGGAGTTTGTGTCCATTATTAAGTAAGAGTTACTTGGGTACTAGCAATGGGATAGTGATAATTGGACAGTCCATCTGTTAACTAAGATGGTTACTTAATGACTAATGGGTGAGTAGTGTATATAATGTGGATACTTTGGACAAAAGGAAGGATTCATTTCTTGGGTGGGATGGAGTGGGACTGAGATTTCTTTGTGTTCCTCAGACCCATATGCAATTTGCATTGTTTATTTCCAGAATTTTCAGAATCTGGTTGACCACATGTAACTGAAACCTTGGAAAGTTAAACTGCAGATAGGGGGTTGTTGTACCTTATCTGTCCAAAAGAGCTGGTTTAATTGTACAACATGTTTTACTAGCAGAAGCTAGCATAAAAATGGGCTCCCTTTACTGAGTCCTCTTGATTGGAAAAAATGGAAATGCTGATGGTTTTGAAAGTAGGTTATCAATGTCATACTTCTGATTTGAATGGATGTATTGTAGCACTAGTGATAGACTAAATGCTAGTTTATTACTAATGTACTTTATACACTGAATTATTTGTACTGTTTTTGGCTAGTAAGTTAGATGACAAGAGAATACCACTTTATTATGATTAGGGCTCCTTATCCCTTATTTGGGGCCATTTCATTATCTTTAATGAACAAACAAATTAACTACACCCTAGTTTCCACAAGGTATATAACTTCAGTTGGAGAACATTATAGTTGTGGCTGTCTAGCTGTGTTAGTGCTATTTTGGTTGGCTTTCAGCTGTCCTACAAAGCAGAAAAGATATAATTGCTTGTCTGTCCCTCACTGTGCGCTAAAATTTTACTTTGG